GTTAGTGTAACGGATGGAGTGGAATACAGTCGAAATGTAAATGCAAAGAACGTGAATTTCTTTCTCCATAATTTGATGTAGTATGTCCAATTATATATCATTTATCGTTCGTGATTGGGACACTTCAATTTCTGTAAGAGCATATTGGAATAATAGAAGTATGTATTACGAACAACTTCTCAATGTAATAGTCATAAATCCTCTGATCCAGAAGCACACGTCAGTGAATACTGATATGAAGAAGTTGAAATTCGTGCTGGTAGGTGTAAACCAGCCAGACAGATGTGTTTGATGAAGTCATCGTTGAACTACGCAGACATTGTGTGTTCCAGTTTTATACTTGATGGTGTTTCCCACTCTGGTATTCTCATAGTAATATTTGTCGAATGCAAACTGAGAAATCAATTACTTGTTTCACCAGCCATCTGATCTATTTCAAATGAAATAATATTTAAGTAATGAGAAGTACACGAAAGAAAAATATTTTCAATCACCAGAATTTTTGTATATTGATTTATACTAAATCTAAAGATGCAGAGAATCACTGATTCAAGGGAGCATACACCAAATTGTTACGGCAGCATAATTTCTTTCTTTAACGACTGAAATTCCAACGTTTTATCCCCAGCTCAGATAACTGCCGAACGATATCTTGTCCACTTCTATAGGCTTGATCACCACTGTAACATAGCTGTGTTTCTTTGAGTCTCCTGCAGTCTAACAAATACACCTTGATGAACTGGATAGCTAACCGTTCGGAATACAATATCATCAATCTCATTTTTCGACGTTTTATTTAATGTATTTATTAGACAATGATCATTTCTTGGAGTTTATAAACCAGAACTACAGTGAATAATGTTTCGCTCGATCACCGAGTCCGTTTAAAAGTCGCGTATGAAGTCAACTCATTGTTAACTGTATTCAATTAGTCACTGGCAGGTGTTCACACCGAATTCTATCGGTGGTCTTTTAAAATAGCTTCGAAATAGAAACGCAAATCATACACATCACAGACAGATTATTTTACGTCGAATTCGATAGTATTAGCTATATGCTTTTGACACCATTGAGATGAATTTCTGAAATTCAGCCCAATAAACACGTTCTTCATTTTTAGTTTTGTTAATGCCCATATATGTGCACGTGACAACACAGTCTGAAGCTGATTGTCATTTCAAACATCCCGTAATTATTCTTTTAAATCACGATTACTATGCTAAATCGCGTGTATCTCTGGGACGGAAGAATATACAAATAGAGAACAAATAACTGAAGTTTGTCAAAATTCGCGATTCTTTTGGTCATTCTGTCTTTACAAATGTCTACATCGTATGTTACTAGTAAGTGTTTACTCAAGTACTTCTTTTCAGTAAGATATGCACTAATAATTAGGAGCGCAATCTTTGTGGAATTGTCTGAAATGCATTAAATGTGGACAGTTTATTCGCTTTGACTGTAATTTATACAAAGGATTGTTTTTTTTCATTTCAGAACGTTGCTTTTATTATGCATATTGAGGTGATGGAGACAAGTACCTCAATATGTGGTTTTATTATGGGACTGAAGAAATGTATCTCGAATTCTTGTATAGTGGATCTGGAAGTGATAAGAATCGTTTCAAGCACTTGTGGAATGTCTATTATCGTGTACACACTAGTAAGAGAATGCAACATTGAAATGTCTTTTTAAAATGATGTTGACCGACACAAAACAATTTTCCTATATTTCACCCTGATATGTTTGCAACAAATCAGAACGTTTTGATTCTTCATCTGGTTCCCACGCAGATATTTTCACTAAAATCACTACGTACTACTGATAGAATATAAAATGATTTACTAAGCTCTATTCTACTGAAATATATTTGTGCAAGTTGAGGAAAAGTGACTTGAAGATTTAATTGGTAATACTGAAGGAAAACGTCGGTCTCTGAATGGGTCTGCTGAGGACACATACATCATTGGCTGTGTTCCAATAACATTTTGGATATAAGTTGATACGCAGAACTGACGTCTCTGTAAATTCACATTTTCATTAAAAATGTAAAACAGGAGGGGTTGGCTGTTTCAACAGTAGGATTCGTCACAAACTCCTTCCCATATGACGTAATCTACACTTAGAAATAATCGCCGTATGATTCCAACAAATGCCAACCCACACTGGACTTATTCATAATTGATTAGGCCTCTAGATTCAGTGACAAATTCGATGGAAGTAAGTTGTTGTCAGTAGAACTCTAGTGGCCATTTATTTCGCAGGTGAGCAATTTTAATTTGCATTCGTGATATCGTCCTTTATTACTGAGTATCATTTGCAATTTCCTTCTCCCTTACTCAACAAAAAGCTTCCCTCTCACAATTTTTATAGGGTGAGATGACCAATTTTTAAGATTTTCAATCTAGTAAATCAATTTAGTAGAGAAACATTATTTCACAAAGGCATTCACTGAGAATTACCTAAAACTGATAATATGTCTGCACTCTACTTCGAGGAAGACGAAAGGAAGCAGAAGGAAAGAAGTTGAAGAAGTCGACTCTTTCAGGTCAACCGAATGACAGTTTTCCACTGGCATTATCTAATCTATCTGCAACAGAACAAGCAGAAATTTTATTCTTGGATTACACGTTCTGGGTTCCAATGAAGAAATTGTAGCAAATTGATATTGCACGCCAATTCTAAAATCTGTTTGATCAGTTTGTGTGGAGATATACTGCGTCACGTGACAGCGAAATCTGTTTTGAATCAAAGATGGTTGATATTGCTCATTAGTTTCAAATTATCCCGATCAGTCAAAAGTCACACGCTACCAAAGAACTCGGGAGATCTTAACATTAGCTGAAAAGAGGAAACAATGTTGTTACTTCACAATCTGATAAAGCAGAGAGAGTGTGGTACTGATGAACAAGATGGATTATATAGGAAAAATACATCAAATTCTCTTTGATGAACCTTAATTCAAAGTGGATAATCATGCTAAAGATCAAACACTGCCAGCCGATAGAAACGTTGTGCAACATTTACAAAAACTTTTCGAAAAGAAATACATTGACTAGAATACATATACGAATATCTAACCGACTGGATCACAGATCCCAAAATTATACGATCTCGTCAAAAAAAGACGAAAAACGGAAGCGCCATTGAGACCTACAGTCTCAATGATAAATTATCCATGTCACAAATTAGCAATTGAGTTGCTTCATGAATCATTGCAGCCTTTGTGGAAACGCTCTGCAACGTATACAGTTCTGCATTACTTCCAGTTTGTCAAGCAAAACAATGATGTCGATGTATCTGATAAGCACCTAGTCTTTCTATAAGTTACCTCCGTTTTCGCAAATGTGTGAGTCATTGAGGTACTTGACTTTACGTGTGGGGAAGCTGAAGACATATCCATCCCAACATCGGAATAGAGGAAGGTGATGCTATATGAACTAAAATTGTCTAATTGCAATTCGATCGGCGTCTATTCCATCAAGTTTATGGTATTGCAATGGGAAGCGTCTTGCGACCACGTTTCACATATTTATTCTTATCAAGTCAAGAAGCCAGTATTTCACAACCACATATACAACAAGTTGAAGTGATATTTTTATTGTCTGTGAAAGCAGATCGAAAGCTGCAGACCCGCTGATTAAATTCAACTCTTGCTAACTGAATCTCAACTTTACAACAAAACACTTGGAGAATGGTACTATTGACTTCATAAACGTTTATCTAGTGAAAATGGTTGAAGGAACAATCGAAAAATTCATATTTCGAAAGTCTTCACGGACAGAGCAGTACACACATTTCAAACGTTTTGTTCCAATCCAGTATAGAAAGATATGAGTCAGAGCACTGTTCAATAGAGCACCAAAAATTAGTTCTGACAGTTGAAATGATCATGAAATAAAGGCTCTGTAGGATATTTTATCTAGGAATGGATATCCTGAGAAGTTCATCAATTATTATCTTAGGGAAATGATCGCCTGCAAAACCATCAAAACAGCTACCAAGAATTCCGTCATTATCTATTTGGCATTCAAAGGAGTTGATGTACAAGAGGTAGTAAAACTAAGACCTTCTTACTCTCCAAATCTTGCTTTCATAAACACCATCAAGTGTGATTGCTTGAAAAGCTTGAAAAAGACCAGTCGCCAGTCTTCAACACTTCAGACTGCGTATGTCAGTTTGCGTTTGTTTGTAGATGCAAATACGTAGATAGGAGAGGTAGGTTATTGTCTCCTATCATGATGGAGCATTTCTCAAAGTGGCTGTGGACAAACAAAATCAGTGCCGAAATGTTAACCAAAAGAGTACCTTGTGAACTACGAACATAATATCGACGCTATCAAGTTGATTTCCCGTGTCACTAAGGTTTTTTTCGTTTCACTACATCTTATCTTTTAAAAAACCGATTGGGACCGCCAATTTTTTATATTATTTCGACATAGCATTGTTGTACTCAACTGCAATTCAAAGACTTCCCTAGATACAACAAAATGCGAACTGTCCTGGCATTATTAGTGATATGATCTTGGAGATTTTCGACGACTCGACTGAAAATCAATAATGTCTTGTGTTCATTGGTGAATTTTGATGCTCAGCAAATAATTTCAAGTAACAAACTAATCTCTTTCAGACCGATAATTTCCCGTTAATGTTGACCGAAGCGAGTGAGTAAAATTCGTGAAAATTGAAACGCAAGATTGCCTTGTTATTCAAATAAATTAGTGAAATTCGCCGTTGACAATATGAGGCCTATTATCTGCACATGCAAACAGATAGCTGGAAAATGAAAGCGTCTTTAACAAATACTGATGTAAATATTTGTTGAGTGTAGGCTGATCTCCACTGTTCGGCTTCAAAATTACTTTCTCTAGTGGGGAGTTTGCACCACAATCATCAAGTTGACACAAAGAATCCCATAAAAAAGTCGACACACTGAAACCGTCTATCAGCAAATTCAAATCAGTCATAGAATGACAAATGCACGAAGACGAAAGAATAAAGATGGATTGTGAAATATTGTGATTTATTAGTTATCTTTGAAAAGAAATTTATTGAACATTTAAAATTACAGAAACTACAACTACATGGTTTAAAAGAAATTGAAAACATTTGTATTAATTTGTTGTGTAAAAGAACTTATGAGTGTATTTCTCCTTCGGCATAATGCAAGAAACTGAGTGAATCAGTAATTGCAACGCGGAGATAAAACGAAGCCACTCCCAACGGATTTCTACAAATCAAACAAGATATGAATGTAGATAAAGCCGCATTAATTTGATAATAGATGAAGAAGTTAAACAAACTTAAATAAAAAATTACACATGTAAAGTTTCTGATACACCGAAGAGTGAAGTATAATTGAAATATTCAATGAAACCAACAATTGATGGAATGGTTGGAAAGTATTACAGTAAACGAATGAATATAATCTTAGATTAGAATTGAGAATCAAAATCCGAAAAGAAAAGCGAAAAAAGATGAATAAGCGAAACATATTAAAAATACTACGTATAGAAAAACCCAAAGAGCAAACAACAAATCAGAAATAATACCAAAATTCAAAATAATCAAGAAAATATCCAAAAAAAAGACAAACACTAAGAAAATATACATCACAATAATCAAAAACACGAAATGAAAAAATGTTTTCCAATCAAACTAAGTGAAAGAGGCATCAGAATACTGGTCTCCAGCGAATTGACTTCCACAAATCAACTGCATCGTAATCAACACAGAGATCAGGTGTTCCGTTCTAGGCGCAGTGATTAGCGCTTCTCCCATCTATTCCGAAAGCCACATTTTGAATTCAGTCGGGAGGTGGTGAATGTTATTTCACATCTTACCTGTATTCTCATATTGAACATATGAAAGTTGTCACACTGTGATGCATATTTCTGTTGCATCTGCCCTACTTTACTTTATTTATTCTTTCCATTTACTCGTGTCAGTATCCATCAATTTGTTGATGTCACGTGGGTTGAAACATTATCGCGTGAATGTAACTTCACTCTCTGTAATATATTCAAATATACTTAGTCAACACATTTCGATAGAATACACTTTGACACTACATTCATGGAGATGAAAGCATATTTTGACTTATTTTCAAAATGATAAAATTATTATTTATGTACATGTTAAATAGTGCGCACAAGATAATCCTGTCTATTTTCATTTTATCAGCTGCATATTTGTAGTTGCATGGTGACACTTGTCTACTCATATATTCACCAACAGTTTCTCTGATTGTTTTCGAATGTGGTATATTTGCCTGCATGTTATTCACGTGTTTGTTCACAAAGTAATTGGAGGAAATAATGTGGCCCTTTCATGCTATGTTTTTACTTAGATCAAATTGTTTCCTCCGAATTTAAGCCTAAGAGAACTGGCGTAATATAGATACACTTAATTTCACTCACTTTACTGAACTGGAGAAAGACAGCGAGAAGCACATTTTTGAGGAAAACTTGAAATACAAAAATAGAATCGACGAAATTACAAAAATATTCCTACGATCGAGGAAGAAGAGATTACACAGAGACTTCAGGAGGTCAAACCAGTAGAGTGAAGACCACGTCATATGAACGGTAACTGGGGTCATAGCAAAAGGTTTGTTCAATTTCTTGTGCATATGCAGACGGGTTCTGAACACATATTGAATTGATTTATGAATGGTGAATTCAAACAGTCTGTTCAGAAACCAAAACGACGCTAACAGTCATTGTGATGATTGCAAATATTTCCAATAAGCGCGATTGCCCACTAACAAACTGAACGAGAGAGTGAGCATGAAAGAAGACAGGAAGCGTTATTCTCGACTGCAGGAGGTGACGTCTGTGCTTGAGAAATACATGACAATCCAGCAGTGATTACAATCACGTCTGACAGTATGCTGACTGTGGAGTGCAACACGGGTTTCTGGTCAGACTATGTGGCAGATGCATTTGAATTCTGGTCTCCAGCGAATTGACTTCCACAAATCAACTGCATCGCAATCAACACAGAGATCAGGTGTTCCGTTCTAGGCGCAGTGATTAGCGCTTCTCCCATCTATTCCGAAAGCCACATTTTGAATTCAGTCGGGAGGTGGTGAATGTTATTTCACATCTTACCTGTATTCTCATATTGAACATATGAAAGTTGTCACACTGTGATGCCTATTTCTGTTGCATCTGCCCTACTTTACTTTATTTATTCTTTCCATTTACTCGTGTCAGTATCCATCAATTTGTTGATGTCACGTGGGTTGAAACATTATCGCGTGAATGTAACTTCACTCTCTGTAATATATTCAAATATACTTAGTCAACACATTTCGATAGAATACACTTTGACACTACATTCATGGAGATGAAAGCATATTTTGACTTATTTTCAAAATGATAAAATTATTATTTATGTACATGTTAAATAGTGCGCACAAGATAATCCTGTCTATTTTCATTTTATCAGCTGCATATTTGTAGTTGCATGGTGACACTTGTCTACTCATATATTCACCAACAGTTTCTCTGATTGTTTTCGAATGTGGTATATTTGCCTGCATGTTATTCACGTGTTTGTTCACAAAGTAATTGGAGGAAATAATGTGGCCCTTTCATGCTATGTTTTTACTTAGATCAAATTGTTTCCTCCGAATTTAAGCCTAAGAGAACTGGCGTAATATAGATACACTTAATTTCACTCACTTTACTGAACTGGAGAAAGACAGCGAGAAGCACATTTTTGAGGAAAACTTGAAATACAAAAATAGAATCGACGAAATTACAAAAATATTCCTACGATCGAGGAAGAAGAGATTACACAGAGACTTCAGGAGGTCAAACCAGTAGAGTGAAGACCACGTCATATGAACGGTAACTGGTGTCATAGCAAAAGGTTTGTTCAATTTCTTGTGCATATGCAGACGGGTTCTGAACACATATTGAATTGATTTATGAATGGTGAATTCAAACAGTCTGTTCAGAAACCAATACGACGCTAACAGTCATTGTGATGATTGCAAATATTTCCAATAAGCGCGATTGCCCACTAACAAACTGAACGAGAGAGTGAGCATGAAAGAAGACAGAAAGCGTTATTCTCGACTGCAGGAGGTGACGTCTGTGCTTGAGAAATACATGACAATCCAGCAGTGATTACAATCACGTCTGACAGTATGCTGACTGTGGAGTGCAACACGGGTTTCTGGTCAGACTATGTGGCAGATGCATTTGAATTCTGGTCTCCAGCGAATTGACTTCCACAAATCAACTGCATCGCAATCAACACAGAGATCAGGTGTTCCGTTCTAGGCGCAGTGATTAGCGCTTCTCCCATCTATTCCGAAAGCCACATTTTGAATTCAGTCGGGAGGTGGTGAATGTTATTTCACATCTTACCTGTATTCTCATATTGAACATATGAAAGTTGTCACACTGTGATGCCTATTTCTGTTGCATCTGCCCTACTTTACTTTATTTATTCTTTCCATTTACTCGTGTCAGTATCCATCAATTTGTTGATGTCACGTGGGTTGAAACATTATCGCGTGAATGTAACTTCACTCTCTGTAATATATTCAAATATACTTAGTCAACACATTTCGATAGAATACACTTTGACACTACATTCATGGAGATGAAAGCATATTTTGACTTATTTTCAAAATGATAAAATTATTATTTATGTACATGTTAAATAGTGCGCACAAGATAATCCTGTCTATTTTCATTTTATCAGCTGCATATTTGTAGTTGCATGGTGACACTTGTCTACTCATATATTCACCAACAGTTTCTCTGATTGTTTTCGAATGTGGTATATTTGCCTGCATGTTATTCACGTGTTTGTTCACAAAGTAATTGGAGGAAATAATGTGGCCCTTTCATGCTATGTTTTTACTTAGATCAAATTGTTTCCTCCGAATTTAAGCCTAAGAGAACTGGCGTAATATAGATACACTTAATTTCACTCACTTTACTGAACTGGAGAAAGACAGCGAGAAGCACATTTTTGAGGAAAACTTGAAATACAAAAATAGAATCGACGAAATTACAAAAATATTCCTACGATCGAGGAAGAAGAGATTACACAGAGACTTCAGGAGGTCAAACCAGTAGAGTGAAGACCACGTCATATGAACGGTAACTGGTGTCATAGCAAAAGGTTTGTTCAATTTCTTGTGCATATGCAGACGGGTTCTGAACACATATTGAATTGATTTATGAATGGTGAATTCAAACAGTCTGTTCAGAAACCAATACGACGCTAACAGTCATTGTGATGATTGCAAATATTTCCAATAAGCGCGATTGCCCACTAACAAACTGAACGAGAGAGTGAGCATGAAAGAAGACAGAAAGCGTTATTCTCGACTGCAGGAGGTGACGTCTGTGCTTGAGAAATACATGACAATCCAGCAGTGATTACAATCACGTCTGACAGTATGCTGACTGTGGAGTGCAACACGGGTTTCTGGTCAGACTATGTGGCAGATGCATTTGAATTCTGGTCTCCAGCGAATTGACTTCCACAAATCAACTGCATCGCAATCAACACAGAGATCAGGTGTTCCGTTCTAGGCGCAGTGATTAGCGCTTCTCCCATCTATTCCGAAAGCCACATTTTGAATTCAGTCGGGAGGTGGTGAATGTTATTTCACATCTTACCTGTATTCTCATATTGAACATATGAAAGTTGTCACACTGTGATGCCTATTTCTGTTGCATCTGCCCTACTTTACTTTATTTATTCTTTCCATTTACTCGTGTCAGTATCCATCAATTTGTTGATGTCACGTGGGTTGAAACATTATCGCGTGAATGTAACTTCACTCTCTGTAATATATTCAAATATACTTAGTCAACACATTTCGATAGAATACACTTTGACACTACATTCATGGAGATGAAAGCATATTTTGACTTATTTTCAAAATGATAAAATTATTATTTATGTACATGTTAAATAGTGCGCACAAGATAATCCTGTCTATTTTCATTTTATCAGCTGCATATTTGTAGTTGCATGGTGACACTTGTCTACTCATATATTCACCAACAGTTTCTCTGATTGTTTTCGAATGTGGTATATTTGCCTGCATGTTATTCACGTGTTTGTTCACAAAGTAATTGGAGGAAATAATGTGGCCCTTTCATGCTATGTTTTACTTAGATCAAATTGTTTCCTCTGAATTTAAGCCTAAGAGAACTGGCGTAATATAGATACACTTAATTTCACTCACTTTACTGAACTGGAGAAAGACAGCGAGAAGCACATTTTTGAGGAAAACTTGAAATACAAAAATAGAATCGACGAAATTACAAAAATATTCCTACGATCGAGGAAGAAGAGATTACACAGAGACTTCAGGAGGTCAAACCAGTAGAGTGAAGACCACGTCATATGAACGGTAACTGGTGTCATAGCAAAAGGTTTGTTCAATTTCTTGTGCATATGCAGACGGGTTCTGAACACATATTGAATTGATTTATGAATGGTGAATTCAAACAGTCTGTTCAGAAACCAAAACGACGCTAACAGTCATTGTGATGATTGCAAATATTTCCAATAAGCGCGATTGCCCACTAACAAACTGAACGAGAGAGTGAGCATGAAAGAAGACAGGAAGCGTTATTCTCGACTGCAGGAGGTGACGTCTGTGCTTGAGAAATACATGACAATCCAGCAGTGATTACAATCACGTCTGACAGTATGCTGACTGTGGAGTGCAACACGGGTTTCTGGTCAGACCATGTGGCAGATGCATTTGAATTCTGGTCTCCAGCGAATTGACTTCCACAAATCAACTGCATCGTAATCAACACAGAGATCAGGTGTTCCGTTCTAGGCGCAGTGATTAGCGCTTCTCCCATCTATTCCGAAAGCCACATTTTGAATTCAGTCGGGAGGTGGTGAATGTTATTTCACATCTTACCTGTATTCTCATATTGAACATATGAAAGTTGTCACACTGTGATGCCTATTTCTGTTGCATCTGCCCTACTTTACTTTATTTATTCTTTCCATTTACTCGTGTCAGTATCCATCAATTTGTTGATGTCACGTGGGTTGAAACATTATCGCGTGAATGTAACTTCACTCTCTGTAATATATTCAAATATACTTAGTCAACACATTTCGATAGATTACACTTTGATACCAGATACATGGAGATGAAAGCATATTTTGACTTATTTTCAAAATGATAAAATTATTATTTAAGTACATGTTAAATAGTGCGCACAAGATAATCCTGTCTATTTTTATTTTATCAGCCGCATATTTGTAGTTGCATGGTGACACTTTTCTACTCATATATTCACCAAAATGTCGTCTGTTTTTATCCATGTTAAGTCGTCAGCGTACAAGGATTAATGTTATTTTGTGTAAAACTGTTTGCAAGATATTCATTATCTCATTCGAACACTGGTATTAATATGAATATATTGGTAAAAGAAAATTCAATTTTTCACTATCGATATGAATATGCAAATATATAATTTACCTCCGAGTGCAACTTTGCACTAAAAATGGAAAAGCAATATTAAGTACATTGAAAAGTAATTTAACTGGAGACATATTGAAAATAAAAACAAAACCGCCACTCAAATAAATACATAAAAATTTCAAATATTCCAAGAGAAGATACTCATAAACTAAAGTTCAGTTCACAAAGTCAGTCGCTGAAGGCGATAAAAGTTACATTTATTTGATGTACAAATCCAAATCCTTTGAAAACACGTATTGAATTGATTTATGAATAGTGAATTCAAACAGTCTGTTCAGAAACCAAAACGACGCTAACTGTCATTGTGATGATTGCATATATTTCCAATAAGCGCGATTGCCCACTAACAAACTGAACGAGAGAGTGAGCATGAAAGAAGACAGGAAGCGTTATTCTCGACTGCAGGAGGTGACGTCTGTGCTTGAGAAATACATGACAATCCAGCAGTGATTACAATCACGTCTGACAGTATGCTGACTGTGGAGTGCAACACGGGTTTCTGGTCAGACCATGTGACAGATGCATTTGAATTCTGGTCTCCAGCGAATTGACTTCCACAAATCAACTGCATCGCAATCAACACAGAGATCAGGTGTTCCGTTCTAGGCGCAGTGATTAGCGCTTCTCCCATCTATTCCGAAAGCCACATTTTGAATTCAGTCGGGAGGTGGTGAATGTTATTTCACATCTTACCTGTATTCTCATATTGAACATATGAAAGTTGTCACACTGTGATGCCTATTTCTGTTGCATCTGCCCTACTTTACTTTATTTATTCTTTCCATTTACTCGTGTCAGTATCCATCAATTTGTTGATGTCACGTGGGTTGAAACATTATCGCGTGAATGTAACTTCACTCTCTGTAATATATTCAAATATACTTAGTCAACACATTTCGATAGAATACACTTTGACACTACATTCATGGAGATGAAAGCATATTTTGACTTATTTTCAAAATGATAAAATTATTATTTAAGTACATGTTAAATAGTGCGCACAAGATAATCCTGTCTATTTTCATTTTATCAGCTGCATATTTGTAGTTGCATGGTGACACTTTTCTACTCATATATTCACCGAAATTTCTCAGTATTTTTACTCGTTAGTGTTGTTGCTTTTGAATTATTTGGGTGCATTTTTTCACTCTTATTTGCCATCTGTAATATATCACATTTATGAAATTTGGTTTGGCAAATTTTATTTAGTGAAAGCGTTTATATTTTTTTTTAATATTTGATTGTAAATTGAGAATTTGTATATCACCTTTTCTAAATACTGAAAATTTTTTGAAAATAATGTGGAATGAACAAAGCTTTACTGAAATGGTGATAATAATCAAAAATTTATTATAGTCTTATTTCCATAGAATCATTCCCATAAAAACATGAGTTCGCAAAATATGAGCAAATATCAAATATTCACAATGCAGGTAAAACTCAATCGAAAGAAATTTCTCCGTATGTAGTAAATAAACAAATAGGTTTACAACACGTATTTGTTTCAATTTATCAATGGTAATTTCAAAAAACCTGTTAAGAAACCAATACGACGCTAACAGTCATTGTGATGATTGCATATATTTCCAATAATCGCGATTGCCTACTAACAAAGTGAACGAGAGAGTGAGCACGAAAGAAGACAGGAAGCGTTATTCTCGACTGCAGGATGTGACGTCTGTGCTTGAGAAATACATGACAATCCAGCAGTGATTACAATCACGTCTGACAGTATGCTGACTGTGGAGTGCAACACGGGTTTCTGGTCAGACCATGTGGCAGATGCATTTGAATTCTGGTCTCCAGCGAATTGACTTCCACAAATCAACTGCATCGCAATCAACACAGAGATCAGGTGTTCCGTTCTAGGCGCAGTGATTAGCGCTTCTCCCATCTATTCCGAAAGCCACATTTTGAATTCAGTCGGGAGGTGGTGAATGTTATTTCACATCTTACCTGTATTCTCATATTGAACATATGAAAGTTGTCACACTGTGATGCCTATTTCTGTTGCATCTGCCCTACTTTACTTTATTTATTCTTTCCATTTACTCGTGTCAGTATCCATCAATTTGTTGATGTCACGTGGGTTGAAACATTATCGCGTGAATGTAACTTCACTCTCTGTAATATATTCAAATATACTTAGTCAACACATTTCGATAGAATACACTTTGACACTACATTCATGGAGATGAAAGCATATTTTGACTTATTTTCAAAATGATAAAATTATTATTTATGTACATGTTAAATAGTGCGCAAAAGATAATCCTGTCTATTTTCATTTTATCAGCTGCATATTTGTAGTTGCATGGTGACACTAGTCTTCTCATTTATTCACCGAGATGTTTTTTGTTTTTATTAAAGTTAGGAATGATAATATTAATTTATGATCATCAAGAGAAAGCAAATGTTTGTATTTGAGGATTAATTTCTGAATATAATTTTTTTTACTTATATTCATGGTTTGTTATTTATATTATTCTAATTATATTCTAAATGTTTGTGGAAATTACTCACATTCCTGAAATTCTGACACACATATTTTAAAAAATGGGATAGAAATAAATTTCTGTAGACTAATTTGTATTAAACATAGTATATATTGATGATATATAGCACAACATAAAACCCAAAATAGGCATAAATGTGAACTACATCAGAGAAAAGACAAGCATGAGGTAAGAAATAATGCGTATAGCAATGGAAAGCCTATATTGATGTGAAGATTCAAAAAAATTGCAAACATATATGGCTTTCATTTACGAATGGTGAATTCAAACAGTCTGTTCAGAAACCAATACGACGCTAACTGTCATTGTGATGATTGCATATATTTCCAATAAGCGCGATTGCCCACTAACAAACTGAACGAGAGAGTGAGCATGAAAGAAGACAGGATGCGTTATTCTCGACTGCAGGAGGTGACGTCTGTGCTTGAGAAATACATGACAATCCAGCAGTGATTACAATCACGTCTGACAGTATGCTGACTGTGGAGTGCAACACGGGTTTCTGGTCAGACCATGTGACAGATGCATTTGAATTCTGGTCTCCAGCGAATTGACTTCCACAAATCAACTGCATCGCAATCAACACAGAGATCAGGTGTTCCGTTCTAGGCGCAGTGATTAGCGCTTCTCCCATCTATTCCGAAAGCCACATTTTGAATTCAGTCGGGAGGTGGTGAATGTTATTTCACATCTTACCTGTATTCTCATATTGAACATATGAAAGTTGTCACACTGTGATGCCTATTTCTGTTGCATCTGCCCTACTTTACTTTATTTATTCTTTCCATTTACTCGTGTCAGTATCCATCAATTTGTTGATGTCACGTGGGTTGAAACATTATCGCGTGAATGTAACTTCACTCTCTGTAATATATTCAAATATACTTAGTCAACACATTTCGATAGAATACACTTTGACACTACATTCATGGAGATGAAAGCATATTTTGACTTATTTTCAAAATGATAAAATTATTATTTAAGTACATGTTAAATAGTGCGCACAAGATAATCCTGTCTATTTTCATTTTATCAGCTGCATATTTGTAGTTGCATGGTGACACTTGTCTACTCATATATTCACCAACAGTTTCTCTGATTGTTTTCGAATGTGGTATATTTGCCTGCATGTTATTCACGTGTTTGTTCACAAAGTAATTGGAGGAAATAATGTGGCCCTTTCATGCTATGTTTTTACTTAGATCAAATTGTTTCCTCTGAATTTAAGCCTAAGAGAACTGGCGTAATATAGATACACTTAATTTCACTCACTTTACTGAACTGGAGAAAGACAGCGAGAAGCACATTTTTGAGGAAAACTTGAAATACAAAAATAGAATCGACGAAATTACAAAAATATTCCTACGATCGAGGAAGAAGAGATTACACAGAGACTTCAGGAGGTCAAACCAGTAGAGTGAAGACCACGTCATATGAACGGTAACTGGTGTCATAGCAAAAGGTTTGTTCAATTTCTTGTGCATATGCAGACGGGTTCTGAACACATATTGAATTGATTTATGAATGGTGAATTCAAACAGTCTGTTCAGAAACCAAAACGACGCTAACAGTCATTGTGATGATTGCAAATATTTCCAATAAGCGCGATTGCCCACTAACAAAGTGAACGAGAGAGTGAGCATGAAAGAAGACAGGAAGCGTTATTCTCGACTGCAGGAGGTGACGTCTGTGCTTGAGAAATACATGACAATCCAGCAGTGATTACAATCACGTCTGACAGTATGCTGACTGTGGAGTGCAACACGGGTTTCTGGTCAGACCATGTGGCAGATGCATTTGAATTCAGGTCTCCAGCGAATTGACTTCCACAAATCAACTGCATCGCAATCAACACAGAGATCAGGTGTTCCGTTCTAGGCGCAGTGATTAGCGCTTCTCCCATCTATTCCGAAAGCCACATTTTGAATTCAGTCGGGAGGTGGTGAATGTTATTTCACATCTTACCTGTATTCTCATATTGAACATATGAAAGTTGTCACACTGTGATGCCTATTTCTGTTGCATCTGCCCTACTTTACTTTATTTATTCTTTCCATTTACTCGTGTCAGTATCCATCAATTTGTTGATGTCACGTGGGTTGAAACATTATCGCGTGAATGTAACTTCACTCTCTGTAATATATTCAAATATACTTAGTCAACACATTTCGATAGAATACACTTTGACACTACATTCATGGAGATGAAAGCATATTTTGACTTATTTTCAAAATGATAAAATTATTATTTAAGTACATGTTAAATAGTGCGCACAAGATAATCCTGTCTATTTTCATTTTATCAGCTGCATATTTGTAGTTGCATGGTGACTCTTGTCTCCCCGTATATTCAACTTCATTTTGTTGGTTTTTTTACGGGAACTTTTCTTCTGTATAAGATTCTGTTTCAAATGGACCTGTTTCTCTCATACGCAACGTCTCGATTTCGACTGATTTTTGTTAGCTTTATTATTATATAATGATATGGAATTTCGGTACTGTTTTATGAATTTTTTGAAACTAACCGGCTTCCAATTCTGGATTTGAAATGGTTTGAATGAATGATATTACTGACAATTTCGTTCACCATAAATAATATATCAATGAATCGAATTACTGTGAATTATTAAGTTGAAAAAATTTCCGATGGTTGAAAAAATTGACAGCAAAAGATCTATATGCACATACATCTAAAAATAAAATGAATATTTCTGCCGAAACAAAAACAAAAGTCCAAAATATCGTCCATCTAGTGATGGGTGAGGAAGGCATATCGATTTCAATATATATATGTTAAATTCAAACAGTCTGTTCAGAAACCAATACGACGCTAACAGTCATTGTGATGATTGCATATATTTCCAATCAGCGCGACTGCCTACTAACAAAGTGAACGAGAGAGTGAGCACGAAAGAAGACAGGAAGCGTTATTCTCGACTGCAGGAGGTGACGTCTGTGCTTGAGAAATACATGACAATCCAGCAGTGATTACAATCACGTCTGACAGTATGCTGACTGTGGAGTGCAACACGGGTTTCTGGTCAGACCATGTGACAGATGCATTTGAATTCTGGTCTCCAGCGAATTGACTTCCACAAATCAACTGCATCGCAATCAACACAGAGATCAGGTGTTCCGTTCTAGGCGCAGTGATTAGCGCTTCTCCCATCTATTCCGAAAGCCACATTTTGAATTCAGTCGGGAGGTGGTGAATGTTATTTCACATCTTACCTGTATTCTCATATTGAACATATGAAAGTTGTCACACTGTGATGCCTATTTCTGTTGCATCTGCCCTACTTTACTTTATTTATTCTTTCCATTTACTCGTGTCAGTATCCATCAATTTGTTGATGTCACGTGGGTTGAAACATTATCGCGTGAATGTAACTTCACTCTCTGTAATATATTCAAATATACTTAGTCAACACATTTCGATAGAATACACTTTGACACTACATTCATGGAGATGAAAGCATATTTTGACTTATTTTCAAAATGATAAAATTATTATTTAAGTACATGTTAAATAGTGCGCACAAGATAATCCTGTCTATTTTCATTTTATTAACTGAATGTTTCTAATTTCATGGTGACACTTTACTTTTCATATATTTGTTTGCAATTTTTTTGGTTACATACATGCTAACATTATTGTTTTTTAATTATTTGGTAGTATGTTCCTTTATACTCTGGTGTTTGTTTGCGTTAATCTTGATAAATATTATGTGACTGCAACAGTAATCACGAAATTAGTATTTATAATTGTGCATATAAAGATTGATTATTACGATGATTCTACTCACATCGTTTAGCTGTATAAAGAATATCAATTGCAATAATAGAGAAAATCTAATGAGCAATAAACTACTAAGACACATTAAATAGATAAAAACTTCCATGGCATGATATAAAATACGATATGCAAAAAAAAGGGATGGAAATAAGAAAAATTTAACTTGAAAAATTAGGCAAATTGTTGATGCAACATGAATGCATACACATATTCAATATGAAGATGGGCAAAGAAAACGTCTCAAAATATATTTATGAACGGTGAATTCAAACAGTCTGTTGAGAAACCAATACGACGCTAACTGTCATTGTGATGATTGCATATATTTCCAATCAGCGCGATTGCCCACTAACAAAGTGAACGAGAGAGTGAGCATGAAAGAAGACAGGAAGCGTTATTCTCGACTGCAGGAGGTGACGTCTGTGCTTGAGAAATACATGACAATCCAGCAGTGATTACAATCACGTCTGACAGTATGCTGACTGTGGAGTGCAACACGGGTTTCTGGTCAGACCATATGGCAGATGCATTTGAATTCTGGTCTCCAGCGAATTGACTTCCACAAATCAACTGCATCGCAATCAACACAGAGATCAGGTGTTCCGTTCTAGGCGCAGTGATTAGCGCTTCTCCCATCTATTCCGAAAGCCACATTTTGAATTCAGTCGGGAGGTGGTGAAAGTTATTTCACATCTTACCTGTATTCTCATATTGAACATATGAAAGTTGTCACACTGTGATGCCTATTTCTGTTGCATCTGCCCTACTTTACTTTATTTATTCTTTCCATTTACTCGTGTCAGTATCCATCAATTTGTTGATGTCACGTGGGTTGAAACATTATCGCGTGAATGTAACTTCACTCTCTGTAATATATTCAAATATACTTAGTCAACACATTTCGATAGAATACACTTTGACACTACATTCATGGAGATGAAAGCATATTTTGACTTATTTTCAAAATGATAAAATTATTATTTAAGTACATGTTAAATAGTGCGCACAAGATAATCCTGTCTATTTTCATTTTATCAGCTGCATATTTGTAGTTGTATGGTGACACTTGTCTCGTCATATATTCACCAGCAGTTTCTCAGTTGTTGTCCTCGATAATAATGTCATTAATAAACTATTTATTTCCATGTAGTCATGGCCTTTCAGTCTTTTTTATATATATATGAAATAAGATTGTAATACTTTCTAAATATTCGCGTAAAAATATTGTGTTGTATGAGGAATATTTAGGAAAATTTCGATAAAATTCAACTCACAATATAATATATCTTTATTTAATGGGAAAACATCAATATAGAAAATGAAACTTAGACGGTTGAATTATTGGTAGAATAAGTTCAATTTCCAAAGTAACAGGCAAAAACACAGGCCGCGAAATCATCTACCGTCATAAATAAACCAAAATTCACAGCATTAAAATGCTTATTTGTGTCAGTAAAAACGTCTATATATTTCGTCGTCCATTAGCAAAATTCTAATGTCGATGAATACAATTTCAAATCCGAATGGTGTATTCAAAACGTCTGTTCAAAATCCAATATAACTCTCACAAACATTGTGATGATTGCATATATTTCCCATCAGCGCGATTGCCTACTAACAAAGTGAACGAGAGAGTGAGCACGAAAGAAGACAGGAAGCGTTATTCTCGACTGCAGGATGTGACGTCTGTGCTTGAGAAATACATGACAATCCAGCAGTGATTACAATCACGTCTGACAGTATGCTGACTGTGGAGTGCAACACGGGTTTCTGGTCAGACCATGTGACAGATGCATTTGAATTCTGGTCTCCAGCGAATTGACTTCCACAAATCAACTGCATCGCAATCAACACAGAGATCAGGTGTTCCGTTCTAGGCGCAGTGATTAGCGCTTCTCCCATCTATTCCGAAAGCCACATTTTGAATTCAGTCGGGAGGTGGTGAATGTTATTTCACATCTTACCTGTATTCTCATATTGAACATATGAAAGTTGTCACACTGTGATGCCTATTTCTGTTGCATCTGCCCTACTTTACTTTATTTATTCTTTCCATTTACTCGTGTCAGTATCCATCAATTTGTTGATGTCACGTGGGTTGAAACATTATCGCGTGAATGTAACTTCACTCTCTGTAATATATTCAAATATACTTAGTCAACACATTTCGATAGAATACACTTTGACACTACATTCATGGAGATGAAAGCATATTTTGACTTATTTTCAAAATGATAAAATTATTATTTAAGTACATGTTAAATAGTGCGCACAAGATAATCCTGTCTATTTTCATTTTATCAGCTGCATATTTGTAGTTGCATGGTGACACTTGTTTACTCATATTTTCACCGCCAATTTTTCTGTTTTTATCCACGTCATCACTGTAGTGTTCATAGGATAGCATATCGTGTGCTCCTGTGTATTTCAATGTTATTACTTTGTGATTATTTCAATAGTCTGATGCCTGAACTTAATTTTTGAAAGCAGAATAATGATGATAGTTGAAAATTTATTAATTGAAAATTTTTTCCTTACCGCATCATATTCCTTTTGGAGTGTTTGTTACATGAATTTGAAATAAAATGAATGCAAGTAAGTTATTCATTTGAAATGACAGCATTTTCAATCACTTTAAAATTGTAATTTTATAATACGATGAATAATTAAAATTTGATGAGTTATTGTAAATGTCACATGACCGGTTTGCTTCATTGCACAGTGCATGTTTAATTTGTTGTGCCGATGCAGATCGTTTCCGTAAACGTAATGAAATTCATCCATGAATGGTGAAATCAAACAGTCTGTTCAGAAACCAATACGACGCTAACAGTCATTGTGATGATTGCATATATTTCCAATCAGCGCGACTGCCTACTAACAAAGTGAACGAGAGAGTGAGCATGAAAGAAGACAGGAAGCGTTATTCTCGACTGCAGGAGGTGACGTCTGTGATAGAGAAATACATGACAATCCAGCAGTGATTACAATCACGTCTGACAGTATGCTGACTGTGGAGTGCAACACGGGTTTCTGGTCAGACCATGTGGCAGATGCATTTGAATTCTGGTCTCCAGCGAATTGACTTCCACAAATCAACTGCATCGCAATCAACACAGAGATCAGGTGTTCCGTTCTAGGCGCAGTGATTAGCGCTTCTCCCATCTATTCCGAAAGCCACACTTTGAATTCAGTCGGGAGGTGGTGAATGTTATTTCACATCGTACCTGTATTCTCATATTGAACATATGAAAGTTGTCACACTGTGATGCCTATTTCTGTTGCATCTGCCCTACTTTACTTTATTTATTCTTTCCATTTACTCGTGTCAGTATCCATCAATTTGTTGATGTCACGTGGGTTGAAACATTATCGCGTGAATGTAACTTCACTCTCTGTAATATATTCAAATATACTTAGTCAACACATTTCGATAGAATACACTTTGACACTACATTCATGGAGATGAAAGCATATTTTGACTTATTTTCAAAATGATAAAATTATTATTTATGTACATGTTAAATAGTGCGCACAAGATAATCCTGTCTATTTTCATTTTATCAGCTGCATATTTGTAGTTGCATGGTGACACTTTTCTACTCATATATTCACCAACAGTTTCTGGGTTTTTTTCATCGTTGGCATTTCTCCTTTTATGGATTTTTGATTTTTGACGCGGTATATACTAATTTTTCCAGTAGATTATTGTCAATGCGTTCATTTTCATAATAGTTTTTTAGAATATTTTCAATTTTCAATTGTTTTTTAGGTTAAGATTTGATTTTCACTCACATGGTTTTTACTTTTGAAATCTGAGAGATTGAATATAATTCTGATTATTAATTTACGCTTATTCGAGACGTTGTGGCGTCGACAATTTTTGAGCTGTCCAGTATATGAACACTCCGTAGCATTTTCAATAGGAAAGATCAAAACAGCGATTGTCAATTATTGTAAATTATATTTACTGTCACTGCACAGCGATTGACTTTACCTGCTGTAATATATTCAAATATACTTAGTCAACACATTTCGATATAATACACTTTGACACTACATTCATGGAGATGAAAGCATATTTTGACTTATTTTCAAAATGATAAAATTATTATTTAAGTACATGTTAAATAGTGCGCACAAGATAATCCTGTCTATTTTCATTTTATCAGCTGCATATTTGTAGTTGCATGGTGACACTTGTCTACTCATATATTCACCAACATTTTCTCGGATTTCATCCATGATAACATTGCTGCGTTAATGGAATTCCTTTTTTTAAATGCACAGACCATGTGATAAGCACTACTGTGTCATTTTCTTAAGAAACGAATTTCGAAAACATATTGATGGAGGCATAATTTTTAAAGAGTATATGTAATATTATATATAATACATATAATAATTTTTTATATATATGACTCACATTGTGGTCCTTTTGGTATGGATAATGCTGTAAATATATTTATTGAAATTAAGAGCCATTAACCGATAGTTATGATTTCATAAAATACCATATTTCACTGAAAAATGTCAGTTAATATATTCTCATTGAAAATTATATCTCAAAAATGTGAACAAATCTTTCCTCACGGCTAGTTTGTGAAACTGAAGCGCGGTTGCTTAAATTGTTGAACCGATGGAGATAGATACCGAACAAGTATTGAATTTCATTTATGAATGGTGAATTCAAACAGTCTGTTCAGAAACCAATACGACGCTAACAGTCATTGTGATGATTGCATATATTTCCAATCAGCGCGATTGCCTACTAACAAAGTGAACGAGAGAGTGAGCATGAAAGAAGACAGGAAGCGTTATTCTCGACTGCAGGAGGTGACGTCTGTGCTTGAGAAATACATGACAATCCAGCAGTGATTACAATCACGTCTGACAGTATGCTGACTGTGGAGTGCAACACGGGTTTCTGGTCAGACCATATGGCAGATGCATTTGAATTCTGGTCTCCAGCGAATTGACTTCCACAAATCAACTGCATCGCAATCAACACAGAGATCAGGTGTTCCGTTCTAGGCGCAGTGATTAGCGCTTCTCCCATCTATTCCGAAAGCCACATTTTGAATTCAGTCGGGAGGTGGTGAAAGTTATTTCACATCTTACCTGTATTCTCATATTGAACATATGAAAGTTGTCACACTGTGATGCCTATTTCTGTTGCATCTGCCCTACTTTACTTTATTTATTCTTTCCATTTACTCGTGTCAGTATCCATCAATTTGTTGATGTCACGTGGGTTGAAACATTATCGCGTGAATGTAACTTCACTCTCTGTAATATATTCAAATATACTTAGTCAACACATTTCGATAGAATACACTTTGACACTACATTCATTGAGATGAAAGCATATTTTGACTTATTTTCAAAATGATAAAATTATTATTTAAGTACATGTTAAATAGTGCGCACAAGATAATCCTGTCTATTTTCATTTTATCAGCTGCATATTTGTAGTTGCATGGTGACACTTTTCTACTCATATATTCACCAATAATTTCTTGGTTGTTTTATGCGATAACATTTTTTTTATATCGTATTTTTGTGCATGTTTGCATGAAAAATTTCTTCCTTTCACTGTTCTTTTCTACAGATTCTTGTACCTTATATATTTTGATGTCATCAAGCTTCAATTTTGTCAAGTTATTCTCAAATTTTTTCGCATATAATATAAGAGGAATTTTTTAAATTGGCTATTTTTGATGTGTCTAACTCACTGTTTTTGTCGCTTTCTCCACCTGTTTTACAATTTTCATTGGAGTGAATTACGTTTAATTTAATAATGATATTTAAGAGATTCACAATCTCCCAGTGAAGTTGCTGTTTCATTATTTTATCTGAGAATACATACCTAAATAGCGAGTATCACTTCTTCACAGTGCTACTTTGTGTCACTGCACAATGTTTTCATACTTTGTTGTGCCGATGCAGATCGGCTCTGAACACGTAATGAATTTCATTTATTTATGGCGAATTCAAACATTCAGTTCAGAAATCAATAAAATTCTAACTGTCATTGTTTTTTTGAAACTTTTTATTCATCTCTTTTTCTATTTTACTGTTTTGTTTTTTTGACAATATTTTTAAAAATTTATTTTGTTTGTTTTCGCTGTTTATGTAGTTTCTTCATGTTGATCTCTCCTCACTGTTTTGTGCCATCCACATTTCTCCATATCTCCTCCTCCTTGCCTTCAGCTTGTGATTTCTATGAATAACTTAAACGACATACAGCATCTCTTCCTCACACACAGAAATATGTTATGTGTGTGAATTTGTTTTAACTTTATGGTCGCAATATCAATATTCACTCCCCATTGTAAAAACCATCTTGCTTTTGAGATTTGGTTTAGTGTTCAACTGAGGAGAAAACCATGTATCTTTTATGTGCATTTTGAATAATAAAAATGTTGAGGATATTCATCCCGCAAATACTTCCATTCATATTTTGATTCTGTTCGCAGTGGATCCTTCTTTTATGTGAACAATATGAAGTACAGATTTTGAATATCATACTGTAGTTTCACTATTCACATAACTATTATTTCTGGTAAAGTTGACTATTTGCACAGCCTTGTGTGAAGTTTGTGCACATTATATATGTGCAGTGGTTTCAACACTAATTTACGTCTTTTTCTTATGACTCAATATGGTAGTGTTTCGTAAATTTTAACTACACATTAAAATACGTAAATTTATGGCTGCATGTGATTTCAGAGAGAAGCGGATGAAAATATGTGTGATATTATCTACGGCCTGGTATCGATAAGTGGAAAACGATGTATAAAATGTTTTCAGTCATTCAAACCACGCAGTGTGGTAGTCTTTAGTTTACTGTTGCATCGCTGTGCTTAAGCTGGACATCAGTAGTATAGCATTTCATTTGACTAAGTGTTAGGACGAATGAAGTCCGAAATCACCATGAATCTGCATACTGTCATTAGCAAACGAGTTATATTCCTAAAACCAAACGTTTTCAGCCACAAATAATTTGCTGGAGTGAAAGTCACTACATATCTGCATCAGAAGGTTTGACATCATCATAGAAATGTATAGAGTTGTCCGTTTTTATTTCATACTAAACCAAATAATAACAGGACTAAAATCACACTAGTATTAACAGTGTTATTTGTGCACTCAAGAATAACACCTTCACCTAATTAGAGTGTTAGATTAGTGTCCAAGCAATGATTTAGACGGTTTCAGTTGCACTTTTCCCTCCTCTTCACAATTTTAGTGGTAATACCTATAAAAAATTGCAGTATTTATAGAAGAAAATTTGTCTAACGTGAAAACGTTTTAATCATTCTCTGATCAGTGCATTTATAAATATATATTCATGAGATCTAGATTAATCAGTGGAATATTTTAAGTTTTCTTGAATTGTTTCCATCTGAGTATTTCTATAGTCTACAATGTGGGCTGTTGACATAATCAACCAATTTCATAGAATAAATCAGAAACACATATGCGTAAATTCAAATTACACAGCTCAATATAACTTATGTGAATCCGTTTAACTTAAACATCATCGTGAATTCAATAAAGTGATAAGTAAAAATTTGAAATGTGATACACCAATGAGAAAAACCAGCTTTGAAATATGTCAAATTCTACTTGAAACAATAATAGTCACACCAAATTGTACTTACCTCCTTCGCTTGGCTTGATGAACATTGTGAACACTTGGACAATAAACAGCAGTACGCAGAACTTCATCATCATAACCTTCTTCTTCTTCTTTTTTACCGTAAACGTGTGAGCAAATAAGAATGAGTATTTATATAGTTTTTTCACTGAATTAGTTTACACTTGCCACGTGTAAGATCATAAAGATTTCTAAAAATAATCCAAAGTATCACTTCATTTCTTTTTGAAAGAATGTGGCGTGATAATAATTACAATTATAATCACATATCTGTTTATGATGTACTTTATTTACAAGGTCACCGGAATCAAAGAACACTAGCCTAACAAAAATAAAGTTAACTGATTCCAAGCATCGTACATTAGGAATTTTACCTAATTTTCTAGCGGGATATAAATTATTTTCGATAACATACACATATCAAAATATCACTCCCAACAAGGAAACGCTGAAGCGGAATGGATTTGTCAAAGAAAATGGTTGGGAGCATATCAATTTCTCATATGATCCAGAGGATGGATAAAATAATAAGATCTGAAATTTGAAAAATTCACGGTTTTATTCGGAGAAGATTCTTTTCTTTTATACAGATGTCAGATCTCTTTGTCAATGCGCAAATATTTTATCATATCATTGAAGGCAAACAAAATTATGAATGAGTAACATCGCTCATTGTCATTCACCCAGAAAATCACTCAAGAATTTAGCTTAATTGACAATTAATTCAGATAAATCATATCTGAACACCAAGTTCCAAGTTTAGACGGTTGAGTGACTTCAGCATTCCGCAACATATGTGCATACCGATTCTTGTATAAAAGTTGCGTTGACGCATGCATGCAGGAGACAGCAAATCAGCACTTAATGTCGTTCATCCATTTCGATGTAGTCGAAATTCACACACAGATCCTCAGTGATAAGCGAATATTGACAGCAAATATGAGTATCTTAAATACAAATGTAAACCAAAAATTATATCTAAACCTCTTCGAACACCTTGAAATCAGTGGTGCGGCATCACATTGAAACTTTCTTTATCCGACACGCGAAATTCTGCTCAACACTGATTCGGCTTTCAGAAACCGACTTTTTTATCAAATTATTTGTTTATGTTGGTGACCAGCAACTCGTGATATCGAAGAAGATGTTTGTTATTCATGAAGATTTACTTTCGCAATCACGGTACAAGGCCAGTGATTTGGGGGGAGAGCGAAACCAAGTCAGGCGAACTGAATAGCATTCATCATTCAGTGGATAAAGAAAGCCTTACAGGTCGTAAACAAAACACAGTTCCCACTTTGTTACTCGTCTTTTCCTTCTGAATTCCTCACGTATCGACTGAAGAGACCACTTATATTTGCTTATATAACCTTTCACTCTTTTCATTACTGGAATATTCTTGCTATTATCTACGCCCCAAACATGTCTACTTGATTTATTATTTATCTTTGATGTTTGCAGAGAAAAGCTTAACACGTCATCCATCGAACCAGTTCAGTGATGTTTGAAACATGCTGCATCTCATTATATCTTCGTCATTTCGTTATGTTCTTAACTCTACTGAAAACAATGGAAAATCTTGTTCGCCTAGTTTCACTATTTCAATGTGCCTCACGACTGATGCTCATATCTGGTATCCTGAATGCCTCATCGCCTTTGTTGCGGCTTGGACAATCTTAGACGATTGTTCAGCTCCGGTGTAAACTTATGATTTCAGTTAGACTCTATATATTGAATTCAAGTTGTTATAATGGCAATTCTCCTCCAGTCTCCAAGTCTGTATTTATCCCTCTACCAAAGGTTCATGTCAAGTAATTAACTCAGGCTTGTAACGCTCAGATGAAATATTTAAGATGCCACAATCAAACACTTTACCACAAAACTAGCTAGCGATAGGACGCAGACACTTATTAGGAGTTTCAGAACACAACATTCAGCAGAGAGACGCATTTCAAGTAGTTTATTATCGAACTGTACTATCGTACATAGTTATGATTTGACAAAAGTATCCCGCAGTGAATAAAAACCAAAAGAATTGACCAACATTACCACTGCCTCTCCTACCGCCACTACTACTCGTCGTAGTGATGCTGTGAATCCTGTTGGCAATCACAGTTGGTGGCGATGCGATAAATCATGTCATTCATTATATAAGATAATTCATAGTGTGAGTGTAGATCTTGAGGATGTTTGTATGTTTAATAGAACCTGTTTTTAAAACCATCTGCCGCAATCCTCGTTTCACCTGCTCTTCTTTAGCATGTTACTGTAGCCGAAGAAAAAGTGCTTCCCACATGAATAAGGTGGCACAGTGTAGTATGGCTTTACAAGGCATAAGGGTGGTTGTGTTAAGCACTATTGTAGTACACTCAATCGACCTCTGGCATCCAAACAGAATGAATAAGTGCTTCATCAGTCAGTTTACGAGTTTGATTTGGTATATTTTTCACGGCATCAAACTCTGAGTAACCAAACTTGTCACCCTGCTATGTGGTGTCTTATTTACCATATAATTTTACACCCTTTTCCAGGATCCAAACAATCTACGAATTATTTTATATGTTGAATAATACGTTTTACCGCATCGCCCTCAAATATGATGTATACCATCACAACTCACAGCATCACTACTATTATTATTAGTGGCAGCAGCAGTTGTACTGTTGTTCAAATCTACTGTTTTCATTTCACTACGGGATATGTTTTCTCATAATTATCATTACATGCGATAGTACAATTTGCTAATAAACTGCTTGAAAAGTGTTTCTTGGCTAAGTATCGTGTTCTTAGTGTTTGAATGACAAATACTAAATAATTTTGAGGTGTATACAGGCTATTAGGACATTATCAACTCACAACCTTCTGCTATTTTATTCAGGTTAATTGGCTTGTTTCCCAGCCAACGGTGGCCAGATCATCGGATGAGTAGAAGGCATATTTCATGCTCATACGCATATCCTCAGAATAACAAATTGCTATTTGGATGGTAGTGTATAAAACAGTCACACATATACAAGGCTTTTATTGTTCCTGGCTGCTAATATTACGACACGCTTATGGTTCCAAACACATCGTTTTGACTGAGACTACAGGAATCCAATTGTTTGCTGAGTGCGCTCCTTCTCTTTACCTCTGTTCTAGAAGTGATATTTGAATAAATCACTTCAACGCAATACTGTGTAGTAGATCATTCCTGTTATTGATGTGAAGATGCTACTGTATAAATTTTGCTTCAATATAGATTTCAGGTATTGTGGAGTGGACTGTCAGTCAAGTAAGATGTTCTGAGAAATAAACAGAATGGACTGAGAATTTATACCACATTCATGCTTATCCTTGCTTCAAAAGATTCTGTATCGGAACTAAACAAAGAATATCTGGGGATATTGGAGATTTCAGGATTTACACACGGAGCGTATTATTTTAACTCATTGATAGTGTTTGTGATATGAACTACATACGCATTTAAATGTAAAGGGAAAGTTACACGATTTCCACTTTATGGGAATTACTTTAAAGTGGATTGTTTGAAGTAGTGATTTGATTGGAACTATCAAAGACAATCACATTTTTCCGACGCGTATGCTCATTGTATACCGGTAAAAAAGACATTCAGTTCAGTGAGGTGTTCAATATCTAACCCTAAAAACCATTGACGAACAGGAGATATTTGTAAGCATGTTGTCCTGCGTCCACTCAGATGAAGCAGGCAAGTGAGGAATTCAGAAGAAAACAACGAGTAACAAAGTATGAACTATGTTCTATTTGTGATGTGTAAAGCTTTCTTTATCCACTGAATGATGAATGCTCTTCAGTTTGCTTGACCAGGTTTACCCACCATCCGATTTACTGTCCCTCTGCCGTAATTCCGAAAGTAAAGTTTCATGAATAACACACATATTCTTCAGTATCACGAGTTGCTGTTAGTCAATTTAAACAAATAATTTCATAGAAACATTGGTTTCTGAAAGCCAAATCGGATGAGGAAATTTTGAATGTGATGCTCTATCACAGATTTCGTGCAGTAGGAAAACTTAAAATCAAGAAACACGGAAGACAGGAGAATTTGTTGATGATGATTCGTTTCATATCTGAGATGTAATATAGGAATGTATTGGTAATTGTTTCTGCTGAGGATGATTTCCTTTGATGAACGAAGAACGAAGATCAAATCAAACCAATGTCCAGGGAAATCCTTGTCTATCATTCTCATTTTGTTCTGTCGAGCTTGTAGTCCGTAATCTTCCACCCAAACGTACCAAGAGTTTCTTGATCCAGTAACATATATTCTTATGTGTTATCTGTATGCTGATTTAGATTTATGACTGCACTGCCAGTATCTTCTTTTCATGATTGTTAAAAGTCAAACGAATCTGACTTGTCTCTTGAAATCTCGGATTATCCAGTGTCAATATAACCGCTGAATTGTCTGACAAACCTAAAACGTTCTGTGTACCTAACTTTCACATTACTGAAGATACTGAGCACCCTACATTAGAAAATCACATTTTCTCAAGTGACAGATTATGCTTGCTGAATTTATTTGGAAAATGATGAGTTAATTGCTTTCCACCTCATGTGCGATAACACTATACACTGGAAGCCATCATACCCATCGATGTCACGATCACCACATTACTGTGGATCACAACGATGTGTGTAAGCAACGGATATGATGGAATTACTTATCAGTTAGAAGTGTATTGTTTTCTGTACTTTTAATTCTGTAATTCTTATACACACACACATACACAATAAGGCATAATAGTTTGTTGGCAAATTACGTGACCTTATACATAAAATAAAGTAAGCATAATCACGGCAAGAAATACTCTTAGTTCTTAGAATAATATGTAATGAGCTTCATATCTTTGAGTGTAAATATATTCTGAATATGTTTGTAGAGAAAGAGAGTATGTCATATGTTGTTTATCATTTTAGCTGTTAATGAGAAAATAACCAAAAATAAATTTAATTAATGATATATTCAAGATATTTTACCTCATTAGTGATTAACAGTAACACGTAAAATCACAGAAACAAGAATAACGAAAATATGTATCTCTAAATATATTTTGCTAAAGTGATAAACAACATATGACATACTCTCTTTCTCTACAAACATATTCAGAATATATTTACACTCAAAGATATGAAGCTCATTACATATTATTCTAAGAACTAAGAGTATTTCTTGCCGTGATTATGCTTACTTTATTTTATGTATAAGGTCACGTAATTTGCCAACAAACTATTATGCCTTATTGTGTATGTGTGTGTGTATAAGAATTACAGAATTAAAAGTACAGAAAACAATACACTTCTAACTGATAAGTAATTCCATCATATCCGTTGCTTACACACATCGTTGTGATCCACAGTAATGTGGTGATCGTGACATCGATGGGTATGATGGCTTCCAGTGTATAGTGTTAT